TCGTCAGCTTCAGATTGATGAGATAAAGCGCCAGGGCAAACTGTTCCTTGTTTATATATTTACTTACCTTGCTAGTGAAATGTCACTATAGATTTTATCCTCACGTGGCTGATTAGTATCTGTCACGCAGCGAGCTGGCTTTATCCACTGAACATTGTGGTTGGACATGATGGTCAGTCAGGTTAATAAAAAGCAGCCGTTGCCTGAGGTGTAAATCGTTGGTCTCTTATATAACTCTGCATCTGGTTTTCAGGGAGCTCTGTGACATTGGAGATATAGGGAAGCTGACCCGGGAACAGTTTGCCCTGGCGCTTTATCTCATCAATCTGAAGCTGACGAAAGGCCTGGACCCACCACAGAGTCTCTCACCGGAAATGATCCCTCCTTCGGACAAACAAAACATCAAGCATGTGAGAAACTTTTGAGGAACTGAAGTGTTAAGCATTAGGTAGAGAGGTATCTTGTTTAAAAAAAAAGGTTTGATAGCATTCATTAGAAAAACAGAGCAGCAGCAGAAGATATCTTGCATCAAAAACGAGCAACTTTTTTTGTACATTTAGACTCGCAGCTGCATTTGTTTCTCATTTCTTTTTCGTTTTTCTCCTTTTTTTTTTTGGTTTCCTTGTATATTTTTGCATTTCAATCACTTCATGTGCAGTGAGGCAGCACAGGTGTTTTTGATGCATCTTATTACTCTCGACAAAGTTGCCTTTTTATTATTTCTGATGCCCTAGCTTGTTTTCTGTTGGACTTCCACCACATTGTCTTTTAGTCTGAACTAACCACAGTTATAAATGATCTAGATACCTGTTCTTTAAAGGAAGTTGAAATGGTGCCAATTTTAACTTTTTGTGATGTACCTAAAACACCAAATATGTCTGCAAAAGTGATTTTTTTTTTTTTTTAGTTTTTTTTTTTTTAGTTTTGAAGTATGTTTAACTTCTTTCATACAGAAGAAGCTGTAATATTTACTTCCCTAATTGTTGGAGAACAACATGGCATCAAGGGCTGCAGATTATGAAGATAAATCAGTCTCAAAAGTAATCACACAAGAGTTCAAGAAGGATTATATGCTTGCAATAAGATCCACAAGCGTACCACGTTTTACAAATGCATACTACAAAATTCACTAACGCGTAAGCAATTTCTCAAATAAACGCATTTCAGTTTGCACAAGTATGAATATTCTGTGCATACAGTTTGTCAAATACATGTGCATGAATCACCTGCCATGGATGAATCAGTCAACATGATTGCATGGATCAGTTTGTCTGTAAATGTGACTTTTGAGACTTTCTTGCTGTGTGAAAACCTGAGACATCTGAGTCTTAGCAGATTTACTGAGAAGACACATTTTAAACTTGGCGCCATAGCTCATAACCTCTATAGTAAAACACAGAGACTGATTTATCATCATAGTTGATAAAATCAAACGAAAACAGTGGAAAAAATACCACTGACCAGTGACCTGTCTCCTCCCTGACTCACTTCTCTAGACATTGTTCTCTAACCACATTTTGATTGTGTCTCATCAGTTGTTTCATACAATGGTTCCTCTTTTACACATTGATCCTTCTATTTTGTAATTGTCATGTCTTCTGCAGAACAATGCTGCTAACCTGGCTGCTGACTTCTCTGCTATTAAGGAGCTGGACACTCTCAGTAATGAGATTGTCGAACTACAAAGGTAATCTTTTGTCCTTTAAGCTTCAAATAAGTCATAGATACACTTGCCGAAGCCATATTGGCGAAGGTTATTTGCCTTGTCATCAGCAATGGAATAATCTAGAGGCTGGTTATAATTCATTTATTGCTATGGTTATAATGTTTAACTTTTTTAGATGGTAATCATCCCACCCAATAGAAATTAGTGTCTGGCATTAATGTGTACCTATTAAATTTTGTAAGATAAATGTGAGTTAGAGCTTCTCTGGTAAATTATCTCATAAATAGTATTTAAATGTAGAAATTAACATCATATAACATGAATGGTTTAGAGTCGTAAAAAACAAAACTGCTGTCAGAATCAAGAGCTGAATTGACCAGCACCGTGCAGCATTTCCTTCATACCGAGTTTAAATGTTTGCATTCATTTCGAACGACATCGTCTCAGTTTCACTTGTTCTCAGCATCATTTACTGGTTTATGTTTTATACCAAACAGGACTGAGGTTCCTCCATAAATGGAAGTTGAGAGTGAGAAGTGAGAAAAGGGTCTTTCAGTCCTGTGTTTTTACACACACACAGTGAGAAGTACATATTCATCATGTGGCAGGTGTTCGAAGGAAGAAAGCTAGAAATGAAAGCTAGGTTAGAGTTTAGCTTTAAACAAGCATCGGATCAAAGTTAGAAGAAAAAATATGCGATGGACGTTTGCAGCTGCTTCAAGTTTTGGCAGCAACATTTTCCTCAAAATAAGGATGGTGATGAACATGACCATGGGTAAGATCAGACACGAGCTGGCTGTAGATTTTCTTCTAAAATATTAGATGAATTTCATTTTTGACATGAAGTGAGAGAGAATCTAAAATAGGCTGTGCTTGAAAGTTATATTTGGAAGTGGGATGCGTTTGATTTATTTTTAAAGAGGACATCTTAGATCTTATTACTGTTTTTCTTTTACATTTTATTGTTGGATGTAACTGGGACCCTGTGTACAACATTTTGCTCCACCAACAAATAAAGAAACTCTGACTCTGACATCCAAAACTGTAATGAATAGTTTTTCTTGACTATAAAGCATTTATTGAGTATAAAACATATGCAAAAAAAGATCTGAATAAAAAAAAAATTGATATGTTACGTGGAACAACACCCGACTTGACCCATGTTTAGACTGCTTTCCTATTTCAATCATTTGGAGAGGTTTATTAGCAGAGATGAAAGTTTTTGGCAGCTGATTGTAATGGTATTACTGTGTGGTGTTTTGCTGAAAATTCAATCTTTCCAATTGAATGATAAAAAAAACAGAAGATCTGAAAAGACTGCTAAGATTGGTGTCTTAGTTTGGCTCGTCATGACATCTCTCCTTTCTCTCCCTGTTCAACCATCTGCTTCTCTCTCCTCAAAGCCCACACATACACTCACTGTAGGTCCTGGTAGTCTCACTTTCTAATCCTTTACACTGCATCACACAGCTGCTCCAGCTGTGGATTTTTGTGCTGTGAAGCTGTGATTTCAGAGCAGGATCATGGTAGTTCAGGGTAAGGAGGTGATGGTGTTTGAGAGACGGGGTGAAGCGTCCTCAACAGACACTTGGATGTGGCTGGGCGGGGTCTGGTTGCCAGGTCTAACGTGCCTATCCTCAGTGGCTAACTACTTCCATTTTTTGTGCTGGACCCCCAGAGAGAAGGACTCTGTGGAAGAGGAGATCAAGGAAAAAGAGGAGGCCATTCGACAACGCAGCAGTGAAGTGCAGGTGAGGTTTCTTTGTCTTTAGTTGAGAGTTTGTACCCATTTCCAGTCAGACCATTATATGGGATAAACTAGAGCTCTTGTTTTTTGTATTTTCTCTTGTCTGACTAGAGCTTGAGCAGACCTGATGTGGTATAAAAGCACATATTTATCTTTAAAAAAATTCAGGTCAGCAGGAACCACGTTTTTGAAAGCAGTTTAAGGTTCTACAATAGAAAATGCTGCAGATATTGATTACAGTTAGTTTACAGTTTGATATACCTGTACAGAAATGTAGTTAATGTACCGTTCATACCGGACAAGGTTGGTTGCTTCTGATAGGAGTGTCTGACTCCCCAGAGGCTGAGCAGTTAATTCTATTTTGGGAGCAGATTGCTTAAAGGGCTAGTCAGATCTGCTTTTGGGATTTCAGTCTTGGTGTCTCTGTGTGAGGGGAGGGGGGGGTCTCATGGGAGTTTGGTGCTCATGCAGAAAAATCCATCCATCCATTTTCTTTACCCGCTTCTTCTTTTTGGGTTGCAGGGCTCACTAGTGCCCATGTCCAGCTGTCACAGTGTGAGAGGCAAAGGGACACTCTGGACAGGTCTCCAGTCCATCACAGGGACACATGGAGACAAACTAGACAAATAACCATTCACTCTCTCACACCTAGGGACAAGTTAGTAAAGAAATCAGCCTAACATGCATGTTTTTGGTCTGTGGGAGGAAACTGGAGTGCCTGGAGAAAACCCACGCATGCACAGATAGAACATGCAAACTCCACCCAGAAAGGTCCTCGGCTGGGATTTGAACCAGCAACTTTCACGCAAATCTTTCAGTGTTTTTATGTGATGTTCATTCTTGGACATTTCATTTTATTTATTTCCAGTGGAGGCAGCACGGTGGCGCAACTGGTAGAGCTGCTGCCTCTCAGCGAGCAGGTCCGGGTTCAAACCCCGGTCCAGGGGCCTTTCTGGGTGGAGTTTGCATGTTCTCTCCGTGCATGCGTGGGTTTTCTCCGGGTACTCCAGTTTCCTCCCACAGACCAAAAACATGCATGTTAGGCTAACTGGTAACTCTCAATTGTCCCTAGGTGTGAGTGGGAGAGTGAATGGTTGTTTGTCTCGTTTGTCTCTATGTGGCCCTGTGATGGACTTGTGACCTGTCCAGGGTGTACCCCGCCCCTCGCACAGTGATTGCTGGACATGGGCACCAGCGACCCCCGTGATCCAAAATGGAATAAGCGGGTAAAAGATAATGATGGATGGATATTTCCAGTGGAGCCTTCACAAATTCAAATGTCACTGCCACTTTCCACAGAGGACGGAAATTTATCTGTGGCATTTACACGGTCATAAAATGATGTGCTCAGCTTTTCTGTTTTATTTGATTTATTCTTAGAAGAACTCTCATTATTTATCCTTAAATTGCTGTTGTTGGTTTTTATTTTTCCTGCAGGACCTTCAGCATGAGGTGGCCAAAGAGAGTGAGGAGCTACAGCGACTCCAGGCACAGCGTCAGAAAGTCCAGGAGGCTTTAGATGAGCTGGACCAACAGAAGAGCTCCTTGGAGGAGCAGCTCAACCACATTCGACAGCAGACCACCCAAGAGACTCAGCTTGTAGGTTGTTTTAATTTTACAAACTAATACTTAAGAACTATTAACTAAAGACAAGACACATTTCAGGATTTTTTTTTACAAGCATTCTATCTTTTGAAGCAAGAATGATCAGAGAAGCTGCGCAGCTTCCAACAAATACACTTGTGTATTTCTAGATCTCATCTCTGCAGTCTGAGCACGAGGAGCAGGAGCAGAGGATATGTCAGTACGAGGAGGAGCTCGTGCAGGCACGAGAGGAGCTGCTGGCTCTGCAGGAGGAGAGCAGGAGGCTGCAGGAGACTGTCCGGGCTGCTCAGGAGCAACTCACTCCACTTCAGGAGTCTGTGCGCGACTCCTTCACACAAGTTTCACAGGTCAGAAACTTCTTCTGTAAACACAGAACTATTTTAAGTCTCATATTCATCTAATGGAAAACACACAACCTTACTGAAACAAAATGAGTTGCAATAATTGTTTTATACACACAAACAACCCTCTGTGTTTTTTACCTTTTTCTTTTTTTTTTTTATGGATTCAACCCCGAGTGCATCCTAAAAAAATCAGTGAAGATGCTGACAATGCTATGTTGCCAAAACAAATTCTACAAGATCTGAGTTTGTTCTTTATTTTATTTTCTGATGGTCTGCTTTTCTTTTAGGTTCAACAGAAGGTCAAAGACCTTCAGGTAGAGGAGAGGTCTGTGACTGCACAGCTCAGCTGGAAGAGAGCTCTGGAGGACAGCTCTCCTGTCATGGTGAACGGATCGTCCGATCCTGCTGCAGAACTGGACCTCTTCCACGAGGATCAGCCAAAAGAGCTGAAGGAGGAAGCACCAGCTGCTGCCTGCAGTCAGCAGAAAGAACTTTCAGATACAAAGGAGAAAGAAGAAGAAAAGGAGGAAGGGAGTCCAAAGACTCTGGAGGAGGAAAAGCAGAAACCTTCTGCCCTGGATGATTTCTATAAAAGTTTTGTCTCAGCTGATTTGTACAACAGTTTGTCAAAGCCACAAGAGAGCACTGTTGGGGTAATGCATATACTAAAATCAGTTACATTAATTGAAGTCACTGTTAAATACTGTTAATTACTCTAATACCTTTTAAATGTGCAAGTACAGTAAACCTAATTTATATTTGGTGTGGTGTGGTTGTAGTTCAGAGCAGATGCAAAAAACATCTGCCACATTTGGCACTCTCTCAAGGTAACTGTTGTCATTGCTGTTTTCTCTGAACGCATCAGGAAAACCTTTTTGCACCTGAACTCTCCTCGGAGATCCTCGATGAGGATGATGAATCACCTAAAGACTCCCCACTACAGGTAAAGTTCCAGATTATTGAGCTTTACCAGGGTCTATTTTTTTGTATTGCCTTTAGTCAAGTATCGCAAACTACTTTTAAAACCTATGTTTGCTTTACCAAGTTATCTTTTATAAAGTTTATCAGACACAAGCGGTTAATCAAGCAGCAACAAGTACATTTCCACTAAAGCATTTAGAGACACTACAGCAAAACCTGTTCGGAGTAAGAGTAGATGATGTTTCAGAGATGAACGTCTGTGTTGATGCTTGTCATCAGAGCCGTGTGCTTTCCCAACAGGTTGATTCTCCAGAGCCCGAGAACAAACCAGAGCCAGCAGGCTTTACAGAAACATGCACCTCGTCACCTCCTCAAGTGGAGCCTCGCTCCTTGCCACCTCAGACGACGCCCCCCTCCCTGCCTGAGGTGGACTTCTTCCATGCAGACCCTTTTACTGATCGTAAGCGCTCACAATCCAGAGTCTGGATTTATACTGAGTTTTTAACCTTTGTAGGAAAGATCAGATTTTTGTGATTGATTCATTTTTAGCTGTTTTAATGTTTCTATATAAAACATACTTGATTGATGTCTCCGAGTGTGTGATTTTATTTTATTATTTTTTGTAGATGATCCATTTAAAGACGATCCCTTTGGAAAAACCAATGTTGCAGGTCAGTTCTCCAATTCTCTGTTGTACTTGATGTGATGAACAGCCTAAAGATTTTCATTGTTAAATGTTGCACATTTTTTTCTGTATTTGTTCTCAGATCCTTTTGGAGGAGATCCGTTCAAAGGCTCAGACCCGTTCGCTGCAGACTCCTTCTTTGCACAGACCTCCAGCTCTGCTTTTTCTTCCGAGGACCCTTTTTCTGCTCCAGCTGACCCATTTGGTACTACTCCTGGCATCCCAGAGCCAGACCTGTTTGCAGCCAAGCTAAATGATACAGCTTCACCACCAGCAGCAGTCCAGGATCCATTTGCTTCCAAAACCACCAATCCAGCTCCTGCATCCAAGGATCCTTTCAGCTCCACAGGACCCAAGAATGCTGATTCAGATCTATTTGGAGGAAAATTGAACGTTTCGGGGGAGGTGGATCCATTTTGTTCACAGGATGGAAGGACAGATCCCTTCAGCTGCTCTCCTCCAAGTTCTGATTTAACACTGGTGAGTGAAACTTTGCTTCGATCTCTCCAGGCTATTGAATGGCATCATTCTTAACCCGTTTAAAAAGTTCAAGTTTTGTTTAAAAATATACACTGGTTTTATGTACACTTTCAAGTTCTTCATACCCTTTAAAATCCTGGCTGTTTGATCTTCTGATCTGGAGAAAAAACACTGATTTTTTAATTTTTTATTTTAATTATTGTCGATTGTGAGCTAGAATGAAGAAATCAGTGTGTTTTGTAATTAATGGATCACAACTACAAGATTCCCCCACCACCCCCCAAAAAAGGATAAAATACCCTTTCTTCACACAACTGACATTTCCAACAATTTTCAGTCGGGTCATCTGGACAGTTTCTTTTCTTTTATGCTGAAACGTTTCACCTTCCATCCAGAAGGCTTCATCAGTCAAGGAAACACACAACACTGATTCTTCCCCCCAAGCAGCTTGCTCCAAAGTGGAACAAACCAGTTATGTTGGTGCTAAGATGGTCTCTTTGGCACGCCCCCTCCTCCGGTGCCGGCCCTCTTCCTCGTCGACAGTCATGTCAAACTGGTTCAAAACCAAAAAAGTCCATGCTCAATAATTCAGGTATACAATCCAACAATTTTCAGTCAGGTGATCTGGACAGTTTCTTTTCTTTTATGCTGAAACGTTTCACCTTCCATCCAGAAGGCTTCATCAGTCAAGGAAACACACAACACAAAACTGATTCTTCCCCCAACAGCTTACTCCAAAGTGGAACAAACCAGTTATGTAGGTGCTAAGATGGAAACATTTCAGCACAAAAAAAAAAACTGTCCAGATGACCTGACTGAAAATTGTTGGATTGTATACCTGGATTATTGAGCATTGTTTTGGTTCTGAACAATCTGAGAAATTTTGTTTTGAGTTAAGCCATAAATATGTAGTTTTAGAATAATTTACTTGGATTTTGGAGTGTTCAAATAACTGAAGAGGAGTTATTGTTGTAGACATTTGTACCTATTTAATTGATCTTGTGATTTTTTTTATATTTATTGGATTTTAATTGAAAAAAAAAATTTAAGACTTAATCATGACCAGTCTGATGAAATAATTAATTTTATTCCTGCATTGTTTGTGCATTCAGTAAAAATAGTGTGTGAACTCTGCATCAAGGTTGATTATAATTTTGTATACATTACTTTTAAAACCCAACAAATCATTTAGCCATTTCCCTTAATCTCAGTTTATGTATTTTTTGTTTTTAGAAGGACGCTGCACCAACCAATGACCCCTTCGCTCCAGGAGGTACTACAATGAGCACCACTTCTGAGCCAGGAAAAGAGCCAGGTATGGTTTGGCGCCACCTTCTGGGAATAAATAAACATTACAACAAATAAATAAAAAGTACAGTTGTGATGCTCAGTCTGTTTTGTGATTGTTATAATTTTTAGATCCATTTGCTGCTGTGTTTGGTAGTGAGTCATTTGGAGGAGGCTTTGCAGATTTTAGCTCTTTGACAAAGGTAATTCTTAATGTTTGGTCACATCCTGCTATTCACAGAAACAGAAAATTACTAAATTGACAGTCTTAAGTGTCGCACACTGAAGGAGAACTGTTGGTTCATTTAGTTTCCTATATTGTAATTGTGTATGTAATTATTTGATTCTTTTTGCAACATAGACCTTTAAAGCACTTCAAAAGTGTTCTTGGAGAGTACTTTGTGTTTGTTCATGGGGGCTATGAATGCACCCATGAGAGGGCTTTCTTTTAGGGACACTTTGTTTACATATTAGTATGCAGCTCTGGAGCTAATGATCCTTCACATTCTTGCTAACCTTGCTGCATGGATTATCTAACAGGGTTTTTGTAAGCATATTTAATAACTATTTATGGTGTAGTTATTTTTGTGTTTGTCATAACAATTCAGAAGCAGTAATTTTTATCTTTTTGTTTTCGAATAGAAAATGAGCTTTTCTTTAATGGGATGAAAACTTTCTGTTCCAGTCAAATGGTCCTGACCAGTTTGGCATCAACAACATGAACCTGTTCCAGGAGGACAACCAGTCTGCCAGCTCTGACGTGCCCCCAGCCCTGCCCCCTAAAACGGGTACGCCAACTAGACCTCCCCCTCCACCTCCAGGTCAGTAACTCTCCCCTTGAAGGAGGCGCACATCAGCTGAATGTAATATTTAAGCTGTATAGCTGTCAGCTGCGTGAGTGTTCATCTTATTAAAATCAAAGTTTTTGTGTGTTTTCGTCTGTAATTGCTACATCAGGTAAGAGATCATCGATCTCCAGAACAGAATCCTCCGAGTCCTTCCAACGAAGAGGACACTTCCTCCAACAAACTTCAGGAGACTTCTCTTCCTCTTCCTCCTCTTCCTCCCTGCCTGCCAAGGATCCTTTAGCTGACCCTTTCGCCCCTTCCTCCCCTCCTCGGCACAACCTGCGGGAAGTTGATCGATTTGCCAGCTTCGACAAAGTGAGCACCTCCCTCTCACCATCTCCCTCACCTCCACCTGAATGTGAATAGTCACACCCTCTTTTCTTTCCAGCAATTGAATCTAAGCTAGTTTTTCAGGAATGTGACAACCCCCAAGCAAATCAGGAAAGCCTTTTAAATCGCTCCATCCACTGCCATTAAAAACAACCTGAAGAAGAGGGCTAAACGCATTATCTAAAGTTTCACGAGGTAGAATGTATGCTTAAATATATATTTATGCTTATTTAGCCTTGACAAAATGTTACTAGTTGTTGGCCTGCTACTTTTGTATACTTGCGCTCCATATCAGTGCTGTTTTTTTTGTTTGATTACTTCCTCTGTGACTATCACTTGTTTGATTTATGTTGGGCTTTCACTTAATTTAAGCCTTATGCTTGCATTGCACTGTCTTAACCTGTGAGAAATGTACAGTATTATCCAGACAAAATATAGACAAATTAATATATTAAGTCTGCCTTGACACTGAATTCAATTGTAGCCACAGTCACAAGTTCTGTCACAAATTGGTTACAAGTTTCTTAATGTTTGGCGGTGAATGGAGGGATGAGAGGCTACTTGAATTTGTTTTATTTTTTGTAAACAAACCCATGTCTACACTCTTGTGCATGTGCAAGCATGTTAAAGAAGAGTAACTCTAAGATGAGGCATTTTACTCTTAATTAAAATGATTTGTCTTGAGATTTTATGTCACTTTTATCACTGAAGTGGTCTCAGCTGAATGTTAAATGCTTCTGTACTTTAACGGGTTATTTAAAACGTGAGTGGCTGAGCTCAGAATCAACAGGTTTCAGTCTGCAGCGCTTTGACAAGATTATTTCAGCAGGCCTTAAAGTGGTAGTTCATGTCTTTTGACGTGGCGTTCTGCAGAAGAGTTCTGATGAATTAATATCTTTCTTGTAGACAGCTCTTTGAGTGACCTCAGTAACAGTTTAAAGAATAAGGGTTGTTGCCTTCTTAAAACAACTTTAATCTAAAACTTCATAGCAGTTCATTCAAATGCTATTTAATAAACTTATACATCACTATCAGTTTACATTACATGGTTAATTAAATGGAATTTTGTGGTTGTTTTTAAGAGCAAGTTGTGGTAGCAGCGGTGCACTTTTAACACAAGTCAGAAGCACTTCCTGTAATTATACCACAATATTTCTGCTGCAAAGTTGATGTGTGCTAAAGGTCCGTAAAACTGTTTGCTTTAAGTGTTATGAATTTAAATGGGATTAACGTTGCTTTAAAATGGCAGCAACCTACTTTCACCATCCTGTCCCTGCTCAGACTGTCGCGTCATCATCTTGGTAAAATTTTAACCGTTTCCCCAAACTGAGGATGTTCAAAGAGTTATCTAAAACGGGTAAGATATTAATCATGCATAACTTTCAACAGAACCCCACGCTGCAAGATTTAAATTATTGCTTTAACCAAGAAGCTGCAGTGTTTTTGTATCTCAGTCTGCAAACCTGAAAATAATTACAAAAAAAAACAAGCCTTTAGGTGAACCTGTGCCTTTTAACATCTGCATGTTGCTGTAACAACTACTCAGACACAAATTATTCTCTTTACTCTTGATATTATTAAAATGGTTACAACTAGTAGTTGACCATTTTGAAAAGAGTGTGAATTGAAGCTTGCACCTCAAATATTAACCTAGAATTGGGCTGCAGTTCAAATATCAACATTAATGAAATGACCTCCACTCTTCCTCCTTATTGCTGCATAGAAAAGAACATTTAAGCTGTAAATTGTGGGACAGATGGCAATGAAAAGACGGTGTTGACTTTCATGACCCCACCTGCATGTTTCTGTCAAACCTGCATGTACTAACTGGGTTTTTGATTGGCTGGCTGACTGTTCACTTACAACCTGCCTCTAATAATCCTTCAAATCAATGTTTATTTTCTCCCTTTACTCACGCTGCTGTTCGTGATGCTACTGATTCATGCATCCCTCTGTCCATCCGTCTGTCTGTTTATCCACTCGTTCATCCATGGATTTTGTTTCAGTCTCAGCCTTTGAAAAGCATTGTCTGTATTCTTTGTGCGTTTTTAAACTTTTGTTAAACATGTTAAATAAAGTGTTGAATCTAGGCCACCATCTCTGGCTTCTATGTGCATCCGTGACATCTTTGGCTGCAAACCAAATGCCAAGTCTATTTATGCCTTTTTAGTTTATGCATTTTATTTATCAAAAGTTATGCATGTACTACAGATTTTTTTTCTAATGCATGTTTGAAATATATGATATTGGTCTCATTGAAAGATAGGCTGCTGTGAATTAAAAGATGCATGCTTTACTGGTGAGCGATTGCTTTGCAGTTTTGTTTGTGCTGGTTTGTGTATAGCAAGAAAATCAGTAAAGCATCTGTTGCATATGTAGCATTTTATGCGTTTTATTTTGAACCAAAAACATGCAAAGCATGTGGAGAGAAGTAAAGATGAACTAAAATAAAACTAATAAAGAGGTGTTTTTAAGGTAAAATAAAATAATTAATTAAAGCAGATAGTTTTGAATTGAATCAGGGGCACTGCCTGCATAATTTATATAATGTACATTTCATAAATGCCAAGTATTTTTTGTGTATTGAGTCATAAAAGTAACTGTGTGAGCACTACTTTTTTATCTTTGCGTGCCTTCACACACTTGATGACCTTTTGATTTTTGTTGGTCGTCTGAAAGTGATGAGCCATTCAGCACGGTGCATGTCCAGTGTGTAGCACGATAACCATCTTAACCAGCGCACTGTTTATTTTAAAGGCCCCGTTGCTCCTTGTTTCTGTGGTTGTGGACCTGCAAACAGATGTGATACTGATCGTACGACTCTTTGGAAATCCCAGCTTGGCTGCTTGTCTCCTGCTTCTCGCCTGATCACATGTCTCAGTAAAATCAATTATGACAAACGCCCAAGGGATGAAAAATTGTCACTGTTGACGTGAACGTGTTTATTCAGAGGAATGCTTCACTCTTGCTCTGCTGAGGTTGTGAAGGTTGTGTCTGTCAGGGAAAGAAGAGAAGGACTATCTTCCATCTGTGTTTGTGCAATGGTGAGTCTATCAGAAGATACCACATCCAATGTGTGCTTTGTGTTTATTCTTTATGTTTCATGGAGCAGTATCCAACCGAGGAAGACATGATAGAGTGGGCAAAGCGCGAGAGCGAGCGAGAGGAAAAGGAGCGACTTGCAAGACTCACTCAGCAGGAGCAAGAGGACCTGGAGCTCGCCATCGCTCTAAGCAAGTCTGAACTCTCCTGAGGAGACTCCTCTCCTCAGCTGGGCTAGCTTGGCACGGCACAGCCTGGCCCAGCCCAGAAATAAATCACCAAAGCAAAATGGGGACTGCGTAGGACTGATGCCCCGAGGCAGACACTGATGTCTGAATCGCTCGGCTCTTTGTCCCATCCGATCGCTCACTGACGTTACAGAGCAGCGTTATTCCATCCGGTTTTTCTGCAGGCTTGACCGAAGGAGAGCATCGAGGAGTTTTCAAACCTGGCTACTACAAATGCTACTTTAACTCTTCCACTTGTAATTTATTTAAACATGCACTTAAAACCAGAGAGAAATGGCCTTTGTGAGAAGCACAGCTTCTTCGCCGCTAACCAAACTCACTACACTTTATGAACTCCCAGCTCTCACTGTGAAGATTTAGTTGATAGAACATGAAAATCCCCAAACTTTCCCTCTCTTCTTTCATAATAAAAAAAACCGGTAACGGCTTAAATTAGTTTTTTCAAGCCTTGTGTAACAAATTGAGTCTTCACTGTAACTTTGTTTTTTATGTGCTTCAAAAAGCAGATGCAATTCTTCTACGTCTGAACGATACAAACCTGGGTCACCAAAATCAACTTCTAGTGTTGAGTAACATTTCCATTAAATAGCTTAGATATTTTATAATTGAGGCATATGAGCGTTAATATAAATTTAAGCATTTCAGTAACTCTTGGATTTATCATGATTTAATGAGACTTCAGATCTTAGATTATTTTCCCTAAAGCAGAGTCCTGCTTAAAAACTCAACTATTTCTTTTAAAATGAACCAAATATGAATGGTTTATAATTCATAGCTGTGCAAACGTCATTTCAGCATTTTAGGTATTTGGAAAATTTCCATAAAAGGTCTTTTTTTTTTATTTTATTATTTAGATAGCTTTATTTTTTCAGGTGACTTCCTGTCTGACAGACTCAGAAGATTTCAGTCTTGTAGAAATCAGCCAATGGTGGTGAGTTTTCTGCCTGGGAATTTTACTTGCAAAAATTCAGCTTGTGCTAGGAGGATCAAGTGTCGCGTTAAACTGCGTCCTCTTACCTGCAGAGGATACATAACAGCTGCCTGGAACTACTTTTTATTAGTCTGTTTTTGCCCCAGGAAAGGCTTAATATTCATCTATGGAAAATAATGTCTAAGGGAATATGTATTTTGAAGGCCCCTGTTTTCATTTCATTTTCTTCAAAATGTAGCACAATAGATAGCACTTGTCAGATATTTTTTAGATTTATTTTTCCATTTTCAACCTGGTGTTCTGCTTCTTTTATGTGAAACCAGTTTCTGTCATTAAAACAGCACTTTGTACCGAGTGCCGTATCTTGTTGACGTTTATTGTAAATTCAAGAGATTTGCATGTTTGTCCTCTGAGCTTTTTTTATGCCAGAGTTCATAGTTTCTCACTTTCAAAGGCCACTAAAGTTAAAGTTACCATCATCTGTACAGACAAACCCAGAACCACTTAATGCTTGTTGGCTTAATCATGAAGTCTTTTAAAAACTAAAGCTAATTGTATTTGTTTTGTATTTTCTAACTTGTAAGAAAAAAAAAATCGTTAATGGGAGGGTTTGCCAGACTATGTAATGCATATAACTGAAACTAAATAAAGGTTAAAATATAATAAAGTTTGGTTGTGTCGTATCAATGTGGACTCCCATACAATTATACAATATGGTTAAGATCAAGAAGTATCAGGTTAAAAAAAAAAGTGCTATGTACACGGTCTTGAGGCACTCCTTAACTGATTCTGGCTGTGAGGAAACAAGTTATCAGTGATGATGAACTGCTTCTTTATTAAATAAACTGAAACTAGAAAAGAGCAGTATCAATTGAACCAAGGTGGGGAAATGTTTAAATGAGAAAGATGACGTGAGAAAGCTGTAAACAGATCAAGAAAAATGAGAAAAGTTCAGAGTCTCAGCAGTATCACTGGTGTTCTTAATGAGTTCAGATGGAAAGGATCATAAATGGAAATGTACTCCTGGAGTTGACTTTTCCATGTACTTTAATCCAAAACAAGAAGAGGGACAATAGCTTTTACATTTTAAAATCACATCTGTTCAGGCCTTCATTCTTAAAGACGCATCTAACCTGTATGTTTTTTGTTTGTTTTGTATTTATGCATTCCACACAAGGAAGTATGTACCATCTGCAAGAACAGAAATGTTAAGACGTGTATCTTTTCTTTGATTTGCTTGTTGTATTGATGTTGGTGTGAGGGAATAAAACAGGTAAATTGTACAGTACATGAATAGTAAAGCCAAAAGAAAGTTTTTCAAAGGAAATTTATTACAACCATAAACACATCTACAATAACATTTATATTTACTTGAGTACAACCGTGTGGTGTTTTATGTGTGTATAATCTAAATGTTAAAAGGGCTTTGTGGAAAGGGAACTACTTTTGGGGCTTGTTGTATTTGAAGACGTTAAAGCGGAGGGATATAGGACCATGGAGCGGAGCTACATTCCTGTGCATTTAAATAGAAAAGCCATCATTATGTGAGGCAACACACCTCTTCACGTTAAGAAGCAGGAAGAGGCTCAGCGGCACTTCTCCGTCACTCGTGTCCGTGTGAAAGTGACTGTCCAGCCGCTTATGTCCTGTCCCGTCTGCCGGTGAGTCTGTCCTCCATGCCAGCCGTGTGAACCGGCGCCGAGGGATGAGTTTTAACTGGAAACGAACCGTGAAGAGGACTGACAGCAAAAAGTGAGTCCAAATTAAAAAAAAAAAAAACTTGACTCTTCAGCTCCACGACCTGTCTGTACTGGTCGCTTTCAGTTTAATCCATGGAATCACCACCTGCCTCTGCTGCCTCTCAGCTATCTAAAGATATATTAAAGATAAGATTAATTCACAGAGCATCGACTGTCAGACATGTTCCTGTGCTGCTACTGTGGAGCTGCATCCTTACATTAAAGTTATAACTAATTAATACTTTTATCAGCTTGTTTTGTTTTGATTTAACCACTGTGAGGCTAAAAGCTTTTCACATTCTTCTCTCTGCTCCCATGAACCAGTTTGTAGCCTGTTAGACAACATTTCTTTCATGGTGCAGTCAGACAGGATTACAGTCAGCCCTGAAAGTATTATATAATGATCATTTACAATATTAATTATCTATCTATCTATCTATCTATCTATCTATCTATCTATCTATCTAT